TGACAGAGAACCTGGTCAGGTATTTTTTTCACCAATAGCAAGACAACCAAACAAAGCTTTCAGATGATACCAATGACTCCACATGCCCAAAAATTGACGAGCGCCTGATTCCAGCACATCGTGACACCTATATACATGGATTGTACTAGCGTTGTACAAAGTAGGAAAAGTGAGTGGCGTCGGTGGCCTAGTGGTTAGGCTCTCGGACTTGCAACCGTAAGGTCGTGGGTTCGAATCCCGTCAGGGGCCCGACGTTGTGCCCTTGGGAAAGGCACTTTGCACAAATTTTCCTCACTTCACCCAGGTGGAAATGGGTACCCGGCTATAGACAGTGAAAGATCTTGTCAGTTTGATAGTGTTTGAGCGCATGAAATCCGCAGCTTGCACTGTATGCTTCCTCGGAAGCTGAGAATGTTTCTGAGTGTTCTCAGAAGGTCTGCTGGGGTAATAATAGTTGTAAAGCGCATCGAGCATGCTCTTGAGCGTGGATATGCGCTATATAAATGCAATTATTATAACATGTATTATTAAAAGTGAGTTATCACTTCGTCCTTATCTGCAAACACTCACACAACATGTATTCCCCTTTTTTTTTTGTCTCAGTTTATCATTACTCAAATGTGTGTTATTTATGTTGTTTGGCTGTGTTGTTTTTGGCATCATGTTACAAACTCCAACTTTTCTCCATCTATCTCGCAATGAAATCCCCCCCCCCAATTTGTATCGATAGAAAAGTTGTTCATTGTAGAATGTATGTGCAGAAATTCATCAGGAAATATTCATAAATAAAAAAGTTATGGGAAGTACTGTGGGGTGACCCCTGAGCTGCCTTGGTTCAAAGGATTTCCCCCGGCACAGGGGCCTATTTACTTGCCCCATTGAAGAGGTTAAGAACACATTTATGGGTGAGTTTTTCAGAAAAACGTTGATCAAAAGCACAAAAAAATGTAAATTTGCAATTTTCAAAGACAATGGAGTTTCAGAAGTCACCAAACTTTGGCAGCCATTTACTGGCTCGAATGGTGCAGCACAAAGCTAAAAATGACACACTGACACAGTTTCGTGACGCACCAGGTACGGCAACAAAGGGGTTAATGTTTTCCGCTCCGGTCGACACAATTCTGATTGCTGAATAACGATTATGAATAATAATGAGTTACTCTTTATTGATCTGCGTGGGGAAATTTGTGATACAGTGGCAGACATGCCTACATCTCAGTTTAGGAGGCAGGCTTCATGCTCAACTTGACTTGCACAAGGAAAGGTTTTTAGATGTACATTTTTTTTGGTGATCTGTTTATTTACACCTCCACCTAATATCTGTTTATGTATATTAAAATATCTCTTTTTCTCTCTCTCTCTCACTCACTCTTCGTCCCGCCTCTATCC